ATATATATATATATGTGTGTGTGTGTGTGTGTGTAACAAGATCAGCTCACAAAAGGCAGTTTCTTTAATTGTGAAGTATTTTGTCATTTCATTTTCGCTACAGCACAAGTCAGTCAAGTTTGTATTTTTGTGATTATTTTAGACACAGCTTTATTTTAAATTCATATTAATCAGTGATTTAGAAACAGAAACAACCCTTTTCTGCTTTGACTTTCTGGCTTCTAGCTGAAAATTTTTTCCTTTATTTTCACAGCTTTTATCATTACCTTACTTTTGTTTCTCTTCATATTTTTCTGCTTTTTGATCTGTCCTAATTCTGATCAGCAACATTTCTGCATGACACATGTAACTTTTTTTGTAGAAATCAGAATATCTTTCTGCATATCAGTTTTGCTGCTTTTATTTTTTTAAGTGTCAAAAACAAAATCAGCAAACTTTTATGAAAAACAGAATACCTTGCAGAGCTTTAATGTAGGTTAGAAAAATTTTCGTGTTGATTCAGCTTCTTAGTTTGTAATTTGTTAAATCAAAGTTCCATTTAAACTTATTCTTAGTGCATTTCTTCAGTACAAACTTTTTTGTCCACAAATTTTCTGACTTTAAATGCTTGCTGTTTGCCAGCACATTTTACAATCTTCCTAATTCAGATCTTTGTTTTAGTTAAGTTTTTCATTTACTCCAGTGACTGATAAATTTAAATACATCTTGAGCTCGACTTATCACAAGCATCTTTACAGGCAACAATTTTCTACTTTTGTGTGCGGTGACATCTTGTTTGATCCATCATATTAAAAGAAGAAACATATTTATGCTCTTTATACCTGAATTTTATTCTTTCAAAAAGTATTTACACATTTACAAAATAGCAATTTGTCATATCAGATCTGTACAGGAGCAGGAGTGAGGAGAGAGAAAGAGAGGCGGGGGTGAGGTGGGTGGGCTGCACGTAAACCTCCAGCTTCAGTTGTTAGTCGCTGCAATGTAAACTATTAAAGCTCTGCAGATTGAAAGAAAATACTTACTAGTGAGTAGCTAGTTGCAAACGGTAAACACAAACTAATCTGACAAAAGAAAAAAGAATGAGAAGATAAAACGTTTGTTAAAGGTGAGAGAGAGAGCGTCATGCAGGAGAGAAAGAACTGATTCAAACAAAGACTGATAAAAATGACAAAGCAAAATTAAAAAAAATAAACAAAGGGGGAGAAAAATGGAAAATCTTTCAGAGTCCAAGCATTGGGAAGAGTTACAAAGACTAATGAAGAGATACAGTTACACTGGAGCAAACAGAAAATAAAATACAGGAACCTGTTTGGTACTGAAGGAAAAAATTAATATGAATGGTTAGTTTTCTACGGATAAACTCAGTTTTAAAGAGGAGAGTAAACTTTCTTGGGTGTAGAAGTACACAAATGAACCATGTTTAAAAAAATATTTGTAGCAGAAGTGAAACTTGTTACATTTGAAAAAATATTTCATGTCAAAAATACAAACCTAAACACCTTAAATTGACTGAATATATTAGAAAAGTTTATTCTGGATGTCCAGACACCTTTTCAAAATAAAGTTTCCTAAACTGAATAAATCTGTTTAACAAGGCGATTTCTAATTAAAAAAAAAAAAAAAAAACTAAAGTGGAAAGGAACGTGGAAAAAAAATGTGCCTGGACAAACAGAAACTTTCAGAAAAAGGTCAATCAGTGAGCACAGCTTTTGTTACATCACACACAATAAAACAATTTAAATATTTGATTTTAGCAGCAAACATCGTTACACATTTCATTCTGCAAGGTGTTTCGACCCGCTGTGTGTCACTCGCTCACAGGTCAGCCTCTCCGGCACGTTTCAGGTGGAGGAGGTTCACCCACTTTTCTCTCCCAAGTGCTCCTGCAGCAGAGCAATGAGCTGAAGATCAAGAGGTGTGGTGGTGCTCGAGGACGGGGGAGGTGGTGGTGGGTGGGGG